ATGGAATGTGTGCTGATACTAGTAGAGGAGAAGCAATGAGGGATTCGATTGCAAAAGCTCTGAAGGGACCACTTGCTCCTGCTCACCAAGAGGTCTGATGCTTATTAATGTTGGACCTATAACCTGTATCATACCTGTCAAGAAATGTTGCAAACTCGATGAAATTATTCACAAAACATACAACTTTTGGCATCTGAGGTCTTTGCATGAATACCAGTGTGCAATTTGTGCATGTTTACTGATATTTAGGACTGATAGCTGTTTGACCACCCAGAGGAAAAAATATTTCTTTATAGCCATGTCATAACTACATCTTTTGGCATCTGAGATCTTTGCATGAATACCAGTGTGCAATTTGTGCATGTTTACTGATATTCAGGACTGATAGCTGTTTGACTACCCAGAGGAAAAAGTATTTCTTTACAGCCATGTCATAACTTTATATAGGCTGAATTTTTTTTAATTCATCTTCTATGTTGGTGATGTTAGAACATTGTTTTAGAAAGTTCATCTCAGTGAAACTAATAGCGCAGCTGAGTAGCGGAGTGGAGGGTAGGCCCTATCAGATTTCCTAAAGTGGAGTGGATGACAATAGGGCCAGTAGCAGGCGCTATAGAGGGAAGAATAGCGGCGGCTGTAGCGGTCGCTATGGCGCTGATATAATTTACGGGGCTACTTCAGTGCTAGTTTTGAGGGAATTTGGGAGTATTTTTACTTTCTGATGTTTTTAGAGTAAATATAACTTCACCACACCCTCCAAAACATGTGAGGGACAACATAACCCAACTAAAAGAGCTCAAAATAGAAACCAAGATCAAATATAATATACACCGTGTATCTCCATGTTATGGTAGTCCAAGGCATCCCAACTATCTTGATTCTCTTATAATGAGATCTTGAGATGGCTAATTTATCAAGAATTCTCAGGAGCTTAATTTGTACGGAGTAATTTTTAATTTTTAATGTTTAGAGATAAGTTACTTAAATTATTCGTTTATTTTGTTTAAGACACTAGTGCCCCTATAAGTATAAATTCCATGAAGTTTGAGATTGAGTAATATATTTGTGGTATCATTTCTTGAATTTGATATGTGCATGGAATGTAATTATATGCATACATATATTATGTATTTTGTACAACTATTGTCCAAATATCGGTCATCCCGCTATCGTCCTATCAGCAATACTGCTATAGCGCTTTCAGTATTGGCCGCTACACTATGCTATCTGGGATTGAAAACACTGGACTTCATCTATACATAAAGCTAAAAATAGGCCTTTTTTTAAATAGGCCTTCCTTAATAACCACCCATGGTTCTAATAGTAGTAGGACAAAAGACTGCTTCATTTTGTTTTTTGCTAGTATGAAAAATCATTCTTCTAAATAGTAATGGTGAACTCAAAAGACTGCATTGCTTTTGCTCGTCTAATCTTTTATCCTAACATCTCCTGCAGCAAGTTGTAACGGAGTTGGCGAATGACCCAAAGCTAGTATACCATTGTGGTCTAACACCGAGGAAACTTCCAGTAAGTACCGTAGATACTGAAATTTCTAAAGATTAACAGTAATTGGTGTTTTGTGTGGGTTCAAATTCATTTATTTTACTTCCAGGAGCTTGTTGAGAACAATCCTCTTATTGCAGTAGAAGTTCTTACCAAGCTAGTGAATTCACCAGAAATTGCTGAGTATGCCCATTTGTTCACATTCTATTCATTAGTGCTCTTCGTCTCTTCCATTTTTCATAATATTCTTTCGGAGTCTTGATTTGCGGTTATGTCTCTCAATTTGATGAACTTCTGATTATATGGTTGCAGATACTTTACAGTTCTTGTTAATATGGAAATGAGTCTTCATTCAATGGAAGTAGTTAACCGACTCACACAAGCAGTTGATTTGCCAACTGAATTTATACATATGTATATTACCAACTGCATATCTTCCTGTGAGAATATCAAGGTCCCTTTGAAGAGCTCTGCTTCTTACCTTAGTATAGTTGCTGTGGTATAAGATTAATTCCTTAACATTTTGTTATTCAAAATTTATTTATATTTCCTTATAATTTTCAGGATAAGTATATGCAGAACAGATTGGTAAGGCTCGTTTGCGTCTTCCTACAGAGCTTGATCCGGAATAAAATAATTGACGGTAAGTACACACATGGTGTGAAAAGCCCTTAGGCTCCACCATAATTACCATTGTTGTAAAAGTTACAAGTATTATTATTAGTTTGTACAAACTAATGATGATACATGTTTTATTTGCCTCTCTGCTGAACTTACCTGTTTTCTATTATTATAATAATGAATATTGCAGTTCAAGATCTGTTTATTGAAGTGCAAGCGTTTTGTATCGAGTTCTCAAGGATTAGGGAAGCCGCTACATTATTTAGGCTGCTTAAAGCCTTAGATGATTCCATGGAGGCCTCCGCCACTGCAGCTGCTACTTAAAAGTCTTGAGCAAATCCCTTTACTCAGTTGAGCCGCTGGACTATTTGCATTTATGGTCTTCCCCTCACCCCCCCTGTACTTCATTTCCCCTTCTTTTGTAATAGCTAGTATATATTTAATTTTTATACATAATATACACTTCTTTGCCTCTGGCGCTTGCCCATCTATTTTCCTTCCAATCCATGTGTATGTTATTATGTCTGGCCAATTTTTGGCATGTATTTTCCAGAAGCACCCAAAAGGCCAAAATAGATAAAATCATTAACTTTATGCTTGGTAATTGGCTATTTGCTCAAAACATATAAAAAATGAATATGTATTATATAAATATAAATGAATAATACCATCATCCGTTCTTTAAAAGTTGCAATAATTTGACTTTCACGTTTGCCAACGCATAACTTTGACTGTAATTATATTTAATTACTCCGTACGTATTAATAAACATTATAAAATATTAATAATATTGAAATTTACATTAATAGAAAATGATCATCAAGGGCTCAATATTCATGTATTTTCTTGAAGAACAAGGACATTTTCTATTGTGCGCACATAATCATGTAAAAAAAGCATACCATCATGTAAATAAAAAAAGGTTCGGGAAATAGAGTTAAAATAAACACAACGTGAAATTTATAAATAGATGTTTCTTTTATTTAAATAGGAGTAAATTGTTATCTTGGTATCATATTTCAATATTTTGATATTAACAATTGTTAATAAGACAATATTAATGCCATAATTGACTACATTTTAATTTAATGTATATGATTATAACTTATAAGCATTCATATAATCATATTGAAAGGGAAAACATAGTACTTGTATTTTGACATATCACATTATCTTTATTCCTACTTTATTGAACAAAATTTGAACTTTAATTACTTTCACGGTTGAAATGTCGAATGAAATATTATTGACTGAATGACTGCTGAGATGGATTTAAATATTAAATTTTTTATGTATTGCATATTTGCATTCATGAGTCAGACCGACATACGTTCTCTTTAATTTCACATAAATGGTTATCATAAAATTTGTATAATGAATCTACATGTAAGATCATAAAACAAACAACTTTTTACACTCGATGAGTGGGAGGCTTCACAATATAATGGTTAACTAGAGTATCTCAAGTTAATCTTGAATAAGACGGTGTGGTTGAAGATGGACTGATGATTTTGGGGTTGAGGAATGAAGAGAGAAAGAAGAGGAAATATTTTTAAGATATACTACGTATAGGAAAAGGATGATTCGAAGTTGTTGTGAAGGAAGATGATTTAAAACCATATAATAATATGATGATTAATTATTAACTGAATCCAAAATTAGTGAACGGATGATGGTTAGAAGAAAAGCTTTTCTTCTAAAAACCATTTTGGATTCAAAACCATATATGGTTTTTAGAAGAAAAGCTCAACTTAACTGAATCCAAAATTAATGAGTCGATTTAAATTGTTACTAATTTTATCATTTCAGTTCAACCCTTTAATATATCACAATTTATGTCAATTTTATCCTTCAGTTTTCAAAACTTGTCTTACTTTTATAAAAACAATTTTTATGATAGTCTTACATGTTTAACCGTTTTTCCAGTTGTGTAATCAAATGATTGTTTAATTAGGTAATCACACTGATGCATCACCATTAGTTGATCCCTTAACATTTAAGAAATGAACTTTAATTATTTTTTAAGTTTAAGTTCATTAAGTTTTGTTTTAAGTGTTTGTGTATAGTATACAACAAGATTTTACAGAGTAACATTTCTAAGTTAAAGAAGAAGAAAATATAGCTTGAGGATAAAGGGTATAGCACAAATTAATTGGCATTCACCTATCCATGCATTTATACTCTTAACACAATATCCATTTAGGTAGCTTAGTTGATTGAGTTATGAAAAAAGTTAGATTATTAATTAATGATCGAAACTCGCAACTGTAGTCTGTAATTTTACGGTTCTTGTGTGATGAGCCGAACAACTGATATGCACAGGTAGTCTATTAGCATTGGGCTACCTTGTCAGGGTAGGAGTACTTAGGGTTGAGGATTCAACATTTTGAAACATGTACTATTAACGCAATGAAATAACGGATAAATATAAGAAATAATTACATAAATATGATCAAAATAAAGATGGTTTACAAAAAATATGACTAGTTACTAGAGTAGTAATAAAATCATAGTAATTCATGTTGAAGTTTTGAATTTAAATTACCACAACACTATATTGTCATATTTATGTGAATAAATTTTATTTTAGTAATATTCTTGTAAAAACAATAATTAAATGAATAAATGTACGTAACAAGTACTATATCTATATTGGGAGTTAAGACTTAAAATAGATCTACAAGTGTAATATTTATCTCCATAATAAATAAAAGAGTGAACTTTCATTTGATAAATGATTTAACTAATTTCATTATTCCTTCACTGTTAATGTGTGATATATTTGAATTCGAATTTGAATTGGACTTGAAAGTTTCAAAAGTGTAAATTTATCATTTTACAAACATAACATTCAAAAGATAAGAAGAAACAGGATGAATTGGTAAAAGTAAAAATATACTCCGTGAGAGATAATATATGGATAATAAAAAAACATTTCTTACCATATTAAGTACTACGTAATCCGTAGTTAAATCACATTTCTTTGAGTAGATAATTTGTCTTACAAAGCTTAAAAATGGGGCACGTTAATTACGCTTTAAGAACACGTCGTAGAAGAGAGTAATGATCAGGTCCGGAGTTCCTGACCGGAACCGCCGTCCGGACCGCGGCGTTTGGCCGCCTTCCGGGTGGAATTTTTTGATGAAATTTTTATGACATGTTTCCATCAAGTCTAGTTTATCCACAAAAAAATTCAGCCCAAAAACTCAATGGGGAAGGTCGTCAAATAATTTTTGCAAGTTAACTGGTCCGGAAAATACCTATTCTGGACCAGTTAACTTGCAAAAATTATTTGACAACCTTCCCGATTGAGTTTTTGGCTGAATTTTTGTGTGGATAAACTAGACTTGAGAGAAAACATGTGATAAAAATTTCATCAAAAAATTATACCTCACTTTCTTCATGACATGAACATCGGTGCGTAGAAGAATCCATATTTGAAGTAGCATAGACTAATCTCTAATTTTCCAGCCAGCACCGAGTCAAACTATGACTTTGAATCATCTGCTTCAATGCACTCGTATTTATTTAAGCAAGACAAGACAGACGCGAAAGGAGGATCGGAAGCGCTGAAAATCAGAATCGAATCGAATTGCGGAGACGTTTGTTTAACGAATGGCCGGTGTTATGCCTTTGAAAGAGACGTTCTTCATTTCTCATGGGTCGCCAACTCTCTCCATCGACGAATCGCTACCGGCCCGCCGTTTTCTCCAATCTTTCCGGGAGAAAATCTTCTCGGAGAAGCCCACCGCAATCCTAGTCATCTCCGCCCACTGGGAGACCTCCGTACCTACCATCAACTCCATCAGCGGCCGCCACGAAACCATCCACGACTTCTACGGCTTCCCCAAGCAGATGTATCAGGTTAGCCATCCGCCTTACCTAAATGTGTGTGTTCATTTAGGTAGTTGGGATTTAGTGATAACAGCGTCCTGTAGTTTGTCTAATAAGGACAGTTTTAAAGCGGTCATGATTTGGGGACGACTCCTTGGTTTCATAGCAGTCATTTGATAACAAAGCGTAGACTTAATTAATCCCGGAAGCTGGATCATCTTTGCGTCAGTTATTATGAACCGTGATGCCTTCTGCAGCGTCTTTTGCGTGAAACTGTAAAGTTGTTGAGCCTAACTAGACATCTGACCTCTACCAAATCAATAAGCTTAGGCCTTACCTGTCATGATGCTAAGTGCTAACTGCATAAAAATTGAGCCTAACTCACCTCTCTATTATATGTAAATATAAATATACATAATCTGAAGGAGTTATTTTGCCTACACCAACCCATCCCAGCTGACAACTTTCATCAGATCAGATTCTTATGTTTTGTTAAATTAGGTTTAACTCCCTAAAAGAAAATATATACGAAAAATAGAAAATACCAACCAACATACGTAGTATTAAGGCTTTGTATTACTCTTCCTATAAGGATGCCATATGACCTATTAAAGTAATAATTGTGTTTGAAAAATAGATGAGATAGACAATGAAGAAATCCTTATTTGTATCAATAGTGGAGTATTGGGGTGTACTCACAAAGTCATAGTTGATTTTATAGGGTACAAAATATATACATCATCTTTAGTGTTGTCGATCCTGGATAGCTTTGCGTGGTGGCCAACGCTGAAAATGCTATGGGGGTAAAGGTGTAAAGTGGATAGTGGGACGACAGCTATTCTGACTATGTATATGCATAATACATAATTATATGTATGCATGTAATTACATGCCACACACATATCAAATCCAATAAATGATAAACATATTACTCGAAGTCTCAATAATGATAAATATATGCCTCTTCGCTATAGGCAATCTAGTAGCCTAGCCCTGCCGCTGTGCTGCTATGCTGCTATTGCGCTGTTGACTTCACTAATCACCAGTCACCTTGTACCTACATGTTTGATTAATGGCAGCTCAAGTATCCAGCGCCAGGAGCGCCAGAGTTAGCAAAAAGGACAGCTGAGTTACTTCTCTCTTCTGGTTTCAAGAAAGTGGAAAAAGACACCAGACGTGGTTTGGATCATGGAGCATGGGTTCCTCTTATGCTCATGTATCCAGACACTGATATCCCAGTGTGCCAGCTTTCTGTCCAGCCAAACATGAATGGAACACACCATTACAATATGGGCAAAGCATTGGCTCCTCTTAAGGAAGAAGGTGTTCTCATAATTGGGTCTGGATCTGCCACTCATAACTTGCGGACTCTCAGGAGTGAAGGACCTCCTCTTCCTTGGGCTAAGGAATTTGATGACTGGCTCAAAGTTTCCCTTTTCAATGGAAGGTAAGTCATCTGTGATATTAATTTGTCTTAATATTGAAACTTCTTTTTGGTGGTGTAAAAAGAGAACTTTCCATTTTGGTCCCACAACCATCAAGTCATTTCCACATTTAACCCCAATTTTCAAATTTTCACTTTTGGCACACAATTGTGGATTCAATATTTTCATGTCACATGTGGTCCTTCGGGACCATTTACCAAGCTAATTTTTTCCCACTTTCTGGTTGAATTTGGTTGGAGAAGTGACCAGAAAGATCAATAGTGACAAAATTGGTGTAATTATGGAGCAAAGTAAAATCACTGAATGTCAATGACTAAAAGTGGGAATGACTTTGGGTAAGGAAACTAAAAGTAGAAAATTTTGTATAAGAAATAAGTAAAATTTGTTTGCCAAGTTTCCTATTTACCATTACACTCTTTTTAGACCATTTATTTAATATGTTGGTCTATGTTTTGTTTATTTGCACACATGCCTCTGAAGTTGAACTGGAGGCCATTTCATGCAAGTAGTTTTCTATCTGTGATGATATTCAGATATGAGTAGTGCTATGGGGATATTCCAAAAGTCCCTACTTCTGACTATGGCCATCTGGAATATCTTCTTTTTCAGTCCCACTTTTGTGTGGAATTGAAAAACCTCAGAGTTAGGAAATTCCCTAGGTTCCCAATTCCTGAAATTACAGGGATCACAATCCCTCATATCAGAGTTATTCTAAGGAGTCCATATCACCATTTTGAATTTATGGAAATATTTGCCGATATTTTGAAGACAATAGTGATAGCGGAAAATTTGAGAAGACTATGGCGCCTTATGTATGTTTTATTTGTGAAGGATAATAAGAGTATAAAATATTGCAGTTATGCTTTGTGATACTTCCCTAATATCTCAAAATGCTTTAGTTTTTCCCCCAATGTTTTTTGAAATTTCATTAGTTTTCTCCAAGAGGTCAGAAGAACTTCGTCACCCCTCAAGCCATGCAATCTTGCGCCATTCTACAGGATTGCGCGAGGCACGCCTCATGTCGTAATTGCATTGTGCAATTATGAACAATGGTGCTGTCATTGTGCCCGACATTACCAGATGTGATGATAAACTAATGTGTATCCCTCATTAAGCTAAAAAGGGACCTACATGACACACTTTGTGTGTCCACAGTTCACAGGAGCTCCTTAAAATTTAACTGTGTTTGCCGGAGTTATGCGATTTTGGTTACTTAACTCAATTCCAAACGCGACTCTAATTTTGAGTAATTTAATATCAACCACTAAATCATTGCAACCCAGACCGGCAGAGTTCCTTTTCCTCATGCATTGAAAGCTCCCCCACCCCCTTTTTTTGCATTGAGAGAAATCCTCCAGCATTTCACACAGCAAAAGTATACCAAACATGCTATGAAAACCCTAGGTGAGGGTCTGACCGAGGAGGGTATGTGCCAGAGTCCACCTTGTGACAGTTTTGTGCTACATGCTCCATTCCCTTCCCGGCCAAACCTCTGATTGATTTGTTTTAACATTTCTTGTGTCTTCTCGTCTTGTGCAGGTATGAAGATGTTAACCACTATGATGAGAAAGCGCCACATTCAAAGCTTGCACACCCGTGGCCTGAACACTTCTACCCATTACATGTTGCGATTGGAGCCGCAGGGGGGGAGCCGAGGGCAGAACTTATTCACCAGAGCTGGAGCAATGGCTCCCTCTCCTATTCTTCCTTCAAATTCACTCAGTGATACTGCTTGACAAATGACAGATCAATACCTGTATATATTTATAATGTGTTGCATATTGCTGTACAGTTCAATCAATAAGGGAACCTGTGACAACAATGGGATTCAAACTCTGACATTTTTTATTTAATTGAGGCCTAGGTGGTGGTTATGGTTGCATTTTGGAATATGTTCTTAATATAGAGTTTTTGTTTTTGCTAATGGGTAATGCGAGTATAATTTTGCAATAAGCAAGACTTTGGATGACTATGAAGGTGTTGTTGCAATCACTATTTTTTTGTATGAAAGCATTGGCGACAGCGTGCATGTTATTGTGACAGCCTTACTTTCATAGCATTAATAGGGATATCAAATTTGCTCTTTGTACCCACCCAATGTACCCACCCTATACACACTACAAATACCCCAAAAAAATTACCCCCTCTTTTCCCCTCACCTCACCCGCGTATCTCACCCCACCGACCCACCTTTCTCGCTCACTCCCCCCTTTCTTGAAAATCAAAACCCCCGCACACAGTGTCTTCTTCTTCAACGCCTAAGCAACCATCAACGACAAAAAAACTGGAGTTTCCTTCCTCTTCCATGGATTTTCTCTTGGACAAAACCATGGTGACAAACGACGACGAATTTTGGTCTATGTGGATTGACGGAGCTGAAGAAACCGGAGGTGATGAAAGGGAAAAATATGCCGGACTTGGAGAAAAAGAAGGACAGATGGCCGGTGATGGAGAAGGTGACGGAATGACGGACGTAGGCGGAGAAGGCTCCGGACAGAAGGCTGGACTTGGAGAAGGTGATGGACACACCGGAGGTGGAGAAGGTGACGTTACGACGGACGTAGGCGGAGAAGATGGACTAACGTCGGCGGCGGCCATGGACGTCGTTTCTGACCTCGGTATGACTTCATCTTCTTCTCTCATGGTTTTAGCAGTTCATTGAACGTTAAAATACATTTCTTCTCACAGACATGGTGTTAGAGGTGGAACTTGTTTATTTGTTCTATTGTTTGTGTATGTAAATAGTGGTGGACAAGTTTGTTTGTGTAGTGTTGTGGGTGTCTGTTGAAGTTTTTGAATTGTCTGTGTGTGCATATATGACTGTTTGTGTGTACCCCTAAGTTTGTTTCAACTCATGCATACGTTTCTTCAAACATGTAACTTTATGCAGCTCTAACTTCTTAATATTTGTTTTTGTTTGTGTATGTAGAACGTCGTAGACTTGTTTGTTTGTGTGGTATTCAACATGTCTGAGAAAATTATGAATTGTCTGTGTGTGACAGTAAGTTGGTTTGAGTGCATGAATAAATAGTGGTGGACAAGATTGTTTGTGTAGTGTTGTGGGTGTCTGGTGAAGTTTTGAGTTGTCTGTGTGTGTATTTTTTACTGTCTATGTGTACCCCTAAGTTTGTTTGAACTCATGCATACGTTTCTTCAAACATATATAACTTTATGCAACTGTAAGTTCTTAATATTTGTTTTTGTTTGTGTATGTAGAACGCCTTACACTTGTTTGTTTGTGTGGTATTGTTTGTGAAACTTGTGAATTGTCTGTGTGTGCACCTATCACTGTCTGTGTGTGATAGTAGGTTGGTTTCAACGCATGAATAAATGAATTATGTTACATAACAGATGGAGAAGGGGTGGCAATGGAGATTGAAGTTGGTAAAGACCCAGAGCTTGGTATGGAGTTTGAAAGCAGAGAAGCGGTCTATGATTTCTACAAAGCATATGGGAAGCGTTTGGGTTTTCCTATAAGAACTAGGAGCACAACAAAAGACAAAAAAGGAGTAAAGATTGTGTCAATTGTACTAGAGTGTTCGCGGGCTGGTCAGAGAGGTAGTCAGTCAAAAAATCAATTGAAGCCCCAACCTTCAATGCAAATAGGGTGTGGGGCTAGACTACGAGCACACGTAAATTCTGAGGGACTTTGGGAAATATCAAAATTGTTTGTACAACATTCACATCCTATGAGTCCAACAAAGGCTAGACTATTCCGTTGCCATAGGAAGTTGACTCATGGAATGGCGAGGAAACTTGCAATAAATGAAGTTGCGGGAATACGACTTAATAAAAGCTTCACCGCGGCCGTTGTTGAAGCCGGTGGATATGATCAACTTCCCTTCATTGAAAAAGATTGTAGGAACTATATAGATAAAGTGAGACAACTTAGGTTAGGTAGTGGCGATGCAATTGCCATTCAAGGGTTCTTTGCTAAAATGCAAGACCAATGTCCCGGATTTTTCTTTGCACTTGACTTAGATGATGAGTCTAGATTGCGTAATGTATTTTGGGCCGACAATAGGTCTAGATATGCGTACAAAGAATTTGGAGATGTCATAACATTTGACACGACCTATCTTACGAATAGGTATGACATGCCTTTTGCACCTTTTGTCGGGGTAAACCATCATGGGCAATCATTGCTAATGGGATGTGGCTTAGTCTCTAATGAAGATACACAAACCTTTGTGTGGTTGTTTAAAGCATGGCTTGAATGCATGGATGGAATCGCTCCAATGGGGATTATTACCGACCAAGACCGTGCCATGCAAAACGCCATTGCAATTGTCTTCCCAAATTCGAAACACCGATGGTGTTTATGGCACATAATGAAAAAGGTACCCGAAAAACTCGGAGGGAATGCACAAAAAGATGAAATATTGGATGTTATACATGACTGCATTTATGATTCACAGTACACCCAAGAGTTTGAGGAAAAATGGCTTGATATGGTTCAAAGGTATGAATTTGTAAGCTTTGTGTTTTGTTCTGGCAGTAACTATTTCTCTGCCTCATAGACAGGTCTGTCTGTCACAGACAATATAGTTTGTACTTCACGGACACAATGTGTTTGTGGGCAGAGAATTACTTCTATGTCATTTATTTAGAAACTGATTACTTGTTTGTGCACTTAAATTGTGATTAGGTTTTCACTAGAAGAGCATGATTGGCTTGGGGTGATGTACAATGAAAGAAACCGGTGGGTACCATGTTATTTAAAGCCAACATTTTGGGCCGGCATGTCCACAACTCAAAGAAGTGAGAGCATCAACGCTTTTTTCGATAAGTTTGTCAATTCAAAAACCACTCTAAAACAATTTGTTGAACAATACGGATGTGCTTTGCGTGATAAGGTGGAAAAAGAATTTCAAGCGGATACTAACTCATTTACCAAAATGATTCCATGTGTGACTAGATATCCAATGGAAAAACAAGTGCAACAAATTTATACCCTTTCTAAGTTTGCGGAGTTTCAAAGGGAATTACTTGAAGGAAAGCTTTATTGTGATATCCTTTTATGTGAAGACGGTAGAAAATACACAGTGCAGGAGCATATGGATATTAATGGATTTAAGAAGAATGTGAACTTCCATATTGACTTTGACCCAATTACTTGTTTTGGAATATGTAGTTGTCATTTGTTTGAGTTTAGGGGAATGATATGTAGACACTTGCTTGTGGTATTTAATCGGCTTGATATACACCACTTGCCCGAGGTGTACCTAATGAGTAGATGGAGGAAAGACATGAAAAGAGCGTACCAACGAGTCAAAATCAATTACGACGGATGGATTACAACGGTTGAACAACAACGCTTTGACAAGTTATGCAAGACATTTGAGTCTGTTGCCAACATGATTGTGGATGATGAGGCGAAATACAATGAAGTCCTCCTTTGGTTAGAAACCCAGTTGACCACATATACTCCTCCAGTTAGCCATTCTTGTATTGTTGGCAACATGACGCCACTTGAAGACCCAAAAACAAATATTCATGCCGAGGTCCCACTTCCACCTATTGGAGATCCAAAATGTACGAAGCGCAAGGGAGCTCCAAGGAAAAACAGAGCAAAGGGTCCACTAGAAAAGGGTAAGAAAGGAAGGCCGAAGAAGGATAATGCACGACCCACAACCACAACAACTCAACATGGTAATGGTGAAGGGCCTAGTCATGGTGCAGCTAATGGGCCAATCATGTATTCTACTGGTTTAGATTTAAATCTATCTTTGATGTGAATACATGTACTATGATGTACTGTTTTTTTGTTGTATCATCAATGAAACTGTTTATAGTCACAAACATTATTATGTAAAACAATCAGATCGGTGTTCTGCCACAAACAAGTATATTTATTCATAGACACAATTATTTGGAGGGGCAGAAAATATTCATGTGATAATTCAGATTATATCCATTATTTAATTAACGCACATATTCATGTAAACAAGAAAATATTTAATTCACGCTCATATTCATGTGATAGTTGAGATTATATCCATTGTTTAAGATATTTTATAGTTAAAATTATCATTATTATACCATGTAGTTGAGATTATATCCAGTATTTAAGATATTTTTAAAGTATACAAAATTATTCTTGGATGAAAAAAAAAGTGATATGAACATTATTTTTATGAACTATAAGCTTTACTTCAACAACTTTATAAATTTTGCTTGTTAATACTTAATATACTCACAGACAAACAAATTTCCACTAGCAGACAATATATTATATAGTCACAGACACATGTTATTACAAACAAAGAACATTATGATACATAACATTTCAAAGTGTTAAAAATAACACAAAAACCAACTTAGAAATTTGGTTACATGCTTCATATGAACCCTCTTGGGGAATAACCTTGTAGGACATTGTACAACGTTCATTACAGCACAACCGCCAAAACAATGTACATGATCATACATTATATTCCAGAAGGTTACAAAAACACAAAACCAGCAAAATAATGTTTCTTACATGGGAACCATGACAGTTATGTATACACATTAGCAAAAAAATAGACATCCACATATGTCTACGAAACAGTCTGCCTCAAACTCCAAAGCCGTAGTGCGAAATGCCATCTCTTGCTGGCCACGTTCGCATACTCGCAATATGGCCTCATCGGTAGCCCCAACATCAATGCTTCCGCATAAGCAACAACCATGAGTCCGCAAATACTTCTACAACACAGACATAACAAACAATTATTCTGTGCTCACAGACATAATTGTACACTGCACATAAACAAATACAAGATTAACAGATTACAATTACCCTCCCTCCTGTTGTGGAACATCTGCAACTGCCTTAGCTTTCCAAACCTCTACCTTACTCAGATCTGGGTGGGCTTGTATGACTCGGAAGAGGAGCGGAAGTCTGACACACAGATCGGCCGCATGCAACCTTGACCTACTCATTCTCGTAGAG